CGTACGTTTGTATTTTTAATTTTTGAATGTGCGCAATAATGCTTGTAGGCAATCGCTCTGTAGGCAATCGGGAATGTCGGCAATTGAAGCTGTCGGCAAAATGTTGTGGGCAAACGAAGCTGTTGGCAAATGGGAATGTAGGCAGTTGAATCCCTCTCCGTCCCAAGTAATAAGCCCAACGGGATGCATATTATTAAGGGTCGAATAAAAAAAGTGAATTTTGAGATATCGTTTTGCAACTTGGGGAAAAGTTGCCTTTCATATGCAGTAAACTACGTGCAAAATTTAAACAAAATCGGACAACATCTTCTTTCGCCCCAAAACAGTCAAAGTTTTATTGCAACGTTGTAACAAAATGATAGAATTTTATCATCAATAGTTATTTATAAAAATTATTTTTTATTCTGCTAATTGTAAAATTACTGCAAATTTCGTTTTCATACTGTTTGAAAATGAAAAATTACAGCAAATTATATCTGAAATTATTGCAAATGGTGTTTTCATATTATTTACAATTTAAAAATTACGAGAATTTTTAAATTACACAAAAAATTGAATGTATTTCAAATTTATTTATTGAAAAAAAAAGAAAAATACATAAAAATTATCGATGATAGTGTAAAAATAAAAAACTTACATAAAAATCTAAATTCTATACAACAAAAGTTATTGCGGTGGTACTCAAACGCTTGCCGAAAACGCTAAAAAGTCACAAAGACGCGCTTTAACCCATCTAGCCACGCCGCATTGCTAAGAAAAATATCTCAGCGTTCATATAACACACGATTCCGAAGCTCAATGTTCTCTCGTTATTTCTCTGCAACGAAGACCCATCCACGGAAACCCATACAGAGTTTTCATGCTCTCGATACAAGCCATCGAATGAGCTAAATTAATTTCACAATTTCGACTTATTTCTTAATAAATCTTAATAAGAAATTATCCTATATTCATATGTATTACAATTATCACCGCACTCTATATATATATATATATATATATATATATATATATATATGCATATAGTCAGAGAGAGAGCGCGATAATTATATTATTATAATTTCTTTTGATTCTTCTTCTAACATGACAACTACTACTAGTATCAAAAAGATTTAAACATGATTATGATTATGTTTTTTTGCAATTGCTTTTGTAACGTTCACTGTCATTGCATAAACATATGATTGCAATCGTCAATATCTTGGCTGCATTCTGATATTCACTGCTAATAAGTAATGAAATGTACAGTTCATGTTACGTACAGTATAGAATTTCAGTACTGATAGTGAATATTAGAACGCAGCCGTTGTCAACGGGCTTAAACCTATATGTATAACTTTACACGCAGACACGATGTGTAAGCGCGATCGTCAATCAGTTAAACTGTGTAACGATTTTTTGTTGCCTGCTCTGTAAAAAATAGTTACTGATAATATAATTTACCTGTCTATAAACTGTTCCATAACTCTCCAATCACGTTGAAGCATCACCCAACGCGGCGATAGCCAGAAAAATATGATTAAGCCCAGAACGCTGTTTCCATAAAATACTGCACCTGCTGTTGCAGACGCTATTCCTCCTAAACTTGCATTTTAGAATGTATTTAATTTAGAATTCGCAGAAAAAAAAAATATATTAAACAAAAATAATATCGAGAAGATTAATGTACATTGGTACAACTAGGGAATTTTTCTGGGGGGAGGGGGGAAGTCATGGTCCCTTTTACCTGTGAATTTTAAATTCCTATTGTGAGATCTTTTATTGTCGGCCATTTAATTATAAGTTAATAATTTTAAACCAAATTAATACATTAAAATACTTCCAACTTTCTCACGTCAGAACTCTGTGCTGCATGTCAAAATTATTTTTATTTAAATTAATTACTATTTCTGAAATTTCTGGGAGAGGGCACTCAGTTTTCTGAGGGGGCCATATCCCTCCCCCCCCCCCTCCCCCCTGGCCTCCTCCTAGTTACGCTAGAGCACTAAAGATGTAGGTATTCTCACGTCTGCGCCATTTTCGCTCCATTCCCCCACTCCTTGCTTTCTCGCCTAATCACCATAAACTTCTTAGCTCAGCGAGGGCGAGCTAAGAAGTTAACAGGGCGAAAGGGCAAGAAGTGGGGGAATGGAGCGAAAATGGTGCAGACGTGAGAATACTCACGTTTATAGTGTCTTAGTTACGCCTATGTCAATGTATCAATAAAACAAAATAATTTTTTTTGTTCTTATTTATTTGATATCGTTAAGCTTACTTTAACTTTAAAAGGATCATATATTATTTCCGCAAAAATAGGTAACATAAAATGAATTATAATAGAAAGATAATTTAATTCTTATCTTATCTCTTTTCAGTCTTAAATATAAAAGAAAACAAGTAAAAATTCTATAACATTGTTCAATTTTTAATAATGTTTATATGATTTATATAATGTTTATATTATATTTATCCATAATAAAAGAAAGTTTATCACTTCTCAATTATTTTTAGACAATTTATTTTGAATCTTTTGAATCTGTTTGTATCGTTTGTACTTTTATCCTTACTTTAATATGTAATTAACACATAAATCATGTTCGCTGATTATGAGAATAGATGCGACGTGTGCAGCACAAAGAACTTATCTGTTTACCTTGCACTTCGAAAGTTGAGGAGTTTAACGTTCTTATCATGTGAATAATCGACAATATGGCCATAATAAGTACCATCATGGTTATGAAAGCAGCGTAGGCAGTGCGAAATGAAAATTTCGCAAATTTCAGCATCAACGGGGTTGGCTTGCGTACTTCTAAGACCGGTAAAATTCCGAATAATTGAGCCAATGCTAGAATAGGCGCTATCGCACAGTGGAAGCTCTCTGGATCCTGTAAAAGAGTTTCCCCTTTCGATATTGTTTTCGTTTATCATTCTTGTACCAATAATACTTCGTGCGGAAGCAATTTATTACTGTTACGATTTTCATGCAAATATATTATAAAATCATATCTAATTGAAATCTAGAACATATCAGCTCACATAATACAATAGTTTTCAAATCTATGGCTATAAAAATCACCCAATTTTTAAGATGCTTTTTAAACATTTTTCAGATTTGGTCTAATATTTACTTTTTTAATTTTTATTTAGAATTCTGGTTATTTAAAAAGTTTACTTCTTCTAGCTCTCAGTTACGCTTTTTACACTTACACATACTTTATTTTTGTCTTTTTAAGGTAGTTTCAACGATTTCTCAATTATTCAAGATGTATTTGTAATCTTAAGAGATAAATGCAATATGCAATATCAGGTAATATCTAAAATTTTTTTAGAATTTTTTGCCACAAAGTTAAAATATTCTTCATTTAACAATACATTTACTCTCTCTCTCTCTCTCTCTCTCTCTCAATAGTTTTCATAAGTTTAATCAGACGAAAGTCAGATAATTTTGTTTAATTATATTACTTTTAAAAAATTTACAAAAAATTGAATATAATTAGATAAATATATTATATTTAAATTTTGCGAACATTTGCCATGTTGTTGTTGAATAATCTTATTAACAAAAATAACAATTTAATATCGTGCATAAAAAATGTTGCAAAAAGTAACAATGCATAACGATTTTTCTCGCTAAATTTGAAATATAAAAACCAATTTTTAATTTCATAAAATAAACTTATATTTTTTTATTTTTTGCGAGTCATTTTATATTGAATAATCTCCAACCATCAATGTCATAGTAGTGTAAACATGTATCATTATTTACGTGTGGAAAGTACAGTCAAGTAAAACAAAAATTGTTTCGTCTGCTGTTGTTCACAATATTTTTTTATACATCTAACTTTTCCTACTTACTTTCTATACTTTTGGCAACGATTGTATCGTTGGAATTACTTTAAAAGACGTATATTTTTTGCAATACACGAGATAAACATTGAATTTTCTTACATTGTTGCTTGTAGATAGAAATGGTTCATTGAAAAAACTGCTGCGAAGAAATGGTCGTGCTCTCGGCGGACCTGGAGGATATGATTTCGATAATTCAATTTCTGTTTCTTTTACTTTGTTTTTCTTATGACGCATTAAGAATGGTAAGATTTTTTGACAAGTTGCGTTGCTTCTTTTTGAACTTGCACTGAATATTTGCTTCGTCTTCAACATCATGCCGTAAACTTTTTTACTGATGTTCAGGGAATCATTCCATTGTGAAATTCCTAATATAATTGAATCGGTTATTTCGTAAAGATTATATTTATTGAGAATCAAATCTTGTAAAAAAATTTTTTAAATTGCTCAATAACATATACGATACATTATTGAGAATCAAATCTTATAAAAAATAAAAAATATTGTTTAATAATATATACATGTTCCCTCGATGCGGGAGATATTTATTGCATCGATCGCAACAATGCTGGCCGTTGCATTGGTTTAGAGTAACCGTGGCAGGTTTTCCATATTACCCTGCGATGTTTGTGAGAAACTGCAGAACAAATAGGACACAATTCTTGAATGAATTTTTTTTCTGTGTGATGGCGAAAAGGAACGTCATCGCATTTATGGTGCCAAAGTTCTTTCTCAATATATACTCGATTGCAGTTCTGATATTAATACGACGAGAGTAACATTTGTAAATTGATCGGATTAAAAATTAATAACATTTTTGTTTTAACTGAAAGAAGAACCTTGTCTCTCATTAAGTATCTTAAATGCCAACGACGACGTTTTTTCAGTACTCGCAATCATACAGAAAGAAAATTTTAAAGATCCTGCTATATATGCAGCTTTCAACAAATGTCGCAAAAAGATACGCAAAGCTTACCATAACTGCTCTAAACCTATGTAATTAATACGCAGTGAATATCTCCCGCTAGATCAATACTGCAACAATATTGTCAAAAATGCATAAATTTTAATAATATGTCTTTTTACAATAAACAAACATTTTTCTATCTTATAGAAATGATTATTGTATATTTATAACAAACAACGATTACTTATATTATTTATAATAGCAGCAATCAATAATAAATATCCGGATACCCATACATTGTATAATGTAATATTCGACTTTATGGCAATCCTGCTAAAAGGATAAAATTATTATCTGTTGAAAACTGTTTTGTGTAATCCTAAGGATGGAGATCTGGAGTGTCATAATAAAATTTGCGTATTAAGATAAAAATTTTTAACTTTTAAATTAAAATGAGTATGGACATTTATTCATTAATAAAAGGGTTAAAAAACGCTGACTCAAGCATGTGGTTCCTTGTTTATATGCAATATGCCAACGTGCAATGTGTTTACTGAATAACAACATTAGTTTAACTAATTGCTTATTCTATCTTTTTAACTTTATATATTTCTTTAAATATTACGAAACAGAAAGTAACATAGCAATGCGAATAATTAGAGTAATACATGCTGATTAATACGGGGTGTCCCATGGGAAGTTGCTGAAACTAATTAGCTGTCATTTTTAAACGCACATAGTGGGCAAAAAAATAAAATATTTTCTAGCAGGGGACATTTTGCAGTTTTATTTACATATAAACCAAAAACAATCAAAAATATTTTTATTATTAAATAAACGTTCATAAAAAAAATGCCAAATTTTGTTAACTTTAATGATTTATATTTTCGAAATGCGCACCGTCAGAATTATAACAAAAAAATTAAATTACTTTTGGAAACTATAAAAGACTTTATGCAACAAAAGTTACAGTTACAGTTATAATTTTCTAAATTGATTTAATTTTTATTATAATTCTGACGGTGTGCACGTCAAAAATATATATAATTAAAATTAGCGATATTTGGCATATTTTTAATAAACGTTTATTTAATGATAAAATATTGTCTTTAATTTATACGTAAATAAAACTGCAAAATGTCCTCTGTTAAAAGATATTTTATTTTTCTTGCTTCCTATGTGCGTTTACAAATGATAGGTAATTAGTTTCAGCAACTTCCCATGAAAACATCTTGTATAATATATTATATGGGATGGCTTAAATAAAGTATTAGAAACTCATTATTCCAAAAACTATTTGATTAATTTAAATCATTTTTATGTAGCCTATGTGTATATATACACATCTCTAGAGCGATAAAACCTACAAATCTATAAAGAGAAGCAGAAGAAACTTTTTAATTTCACAAATAAAACTCTAAAAAAAAGTTACATTTTTATTTAAAATATATTTTTCTGTAAAATGCTTTTATAAAAAATTATATACATTTAAAGTTTTAAATCAGTTTTTTGAAAATACTAATAATAGTAATAGTAATAATATTTTATATAATTATATAATATAAATATAATATAAAACATATTATATATTAAGATAAAATTTTTGTTTATATTTTGTAAAATTGCGTGAATTTGAGTAATATGCGATAATTAATTTTGAGGATTAATATAAATAAAATATCAAGTTTTTTATATCTTAATACAAAACACACATACCAAAATACAATGCTAATATTTTTTATACATGTAACGATGTATGAGTTTACGGCGCGTTTAATTAATTAATTAAATTAATTAATTAGGTTCATGCTTTATCAAACACAAGTAAACTATCGCATCTTAAAAAGGGATTGGTCGTTTATCCAGTTCGAATGTAAACCGATATGTTGACGTAAGCAGTCGATCGTTAAATGCAATTTACGTCAATTGACGATAATTTTCTTGAATGACTCTAGTCAAACTTGTTAAGTGGCTATCGGGTACAATTTCCAAGTGCAATCTTATGCCGTCTATTATAAACTTCCACATTAAGAAGTAATGAATCGTGCACTTTTATATACTCGTAAACTGAAAGGTATGGGAAAAAACGATAACAACCCATAGCAAATATATAATTAAAACCTTTTAAAAATAAAAAAATTAGAGAAAAAAATATTCTATTTCTAAAACAAAAAATATATTTTTATTTGAATTTATCATTTATTAGCACTTACTATTTATTATAATTTTGTGCAGAATTATTATACTTTTAATATATTAGCTTTACGCACATATCTTTAAATGCTTAATCAGTTGAGTGGTAATATATCATATATGTACAAAAAAAAAAGTGCCAAACATGGTAATCATATATGTACATTTTTAAATAACTCCAATAATTTTCAAGAGATTTGCATAAAATTTGATATTGTAAGGTTTTTTGGGTTGCTGAATTCGAATCTGACGTCAAAATTGCAAAATTTAAAATGGCGGATCCAATATGGCGACTGTTAATTATTTAAACATAATTTCTAACATATTCGCATAGTACTTGGTACATGAAGGCTTTTTTCAAATGTCGAAATAAAGAATTCTTTTTCACTTCCATCATTAGCTGGTTAAATATTTTAACGACCCCCCATATTTTGGTTTACACGATCATAACTTTTGATTAGAAAGTCGTAGTAAACATTTTCAAAAATTATTGTTCTCGTCTTGGAAAACCCTTTCAAATGAGTCCCCACTCGACCCATAGTGCCATTTAATATTTTCCACTCCTATTTTACTCCCACCCCCCAGGGCGTGGGGATCTACACCCATTCCGAAAAGTAGCTTTTTCGAAAACTTTGAATCCGTGTTTCACCGTTTTTCGATATTTTAACTTTTGACTCTTACCACTTTGGGCACAAACTCTTCGGAAAAGTCTACCACTGAAGTGGTTAATAAAGTTAATATAAAACTGTGAACTTTTTTTTAAAGAAGAAAAAGAAATAAAAATACAACAAAATACAATATTACAATAATATTTTATATTCTTGTTTTTATGCCAATGATGTATGTATATGCATCATCACTGCAAATATGTCGTGGGTATTAGATATTGTTCTGACATAATTCACATAACTCATGTTTTTCTCTGAAATTATATGTCGACAAGTCTCGAGAAAATTGATTCTTATCAATTGTTTACTATTAATCTCAGTTCGACATCGTAAATAATTATCGATTTTATAATAATCTTTTGTACCGTGTTGGCATTGTCAATGTATGTTTACTATAGATTTATACTATAGACTTATACTGTACATATATTTAATAACATGCTAATTCGCACATTTAAGATGCTAAAATTTTAATTTCATAATTATTTAATAATTTACTATTTAAAGTCATTTATCTATGTATTATGTAACTAATACATCTATCTTTTAAATTGACGACATATATGCTTATTAAATAAAAATATTTTAATTTTCTATCAATATTCCACAGCATTTACCTTAAAAAACAAAAGTTTAAAGTTTACGATTTGTACTTGTATAAAACTATAATACGCATTTACAAGATTAAAAACGTAATACATATTAAGAAAATATTTCCTTTACTATTTTTTTCCTCATATATTATCATCCTTTCCCTCAAATATATTATCGGAGCTTATGCATCATGTAGAAGTATTGACATGAAAAATGTTAGAATAAAAAGAAAAATGTGTTTATGTACATATATCAAAATAAATAGCTCAATTTTTTAAATTTATAATACAGCACATGCAGAATATTTCACACACATAACTTAATCTGTTCAACTCTATTTTAAATAAATCAAAGAAATTTTAATAATCTCAAATAGCCTAAAATGAAAAAAGTGAGGATGATTCATGCGATTTGTGTTTCTAAATTTTCGTTATTTTTCAACTATACAGGAATACATTTAAAGTTTTTCAAAATTAATATTTTCAAATTTCTTAAAGAGTTGTAGTGTACTTACATAAAATTCTTTTTGCAATGGTTTTTATAATCGTCAATTCCATCCGAAAATAAAAACAATAGCCAAGTGATCGTCTTGACTAAACCCGTCACATGAATATGTCAACGTGTACTAACGAACAAGGACCGACTTGAATCAAGAGCTACTACGCCGAGCTTGCGCGACGCATGTCCGATCAGATAGTTAGCTATACCACTTACAAACCGAACTCGACGCTCGCTGAAAATAAAATGCATGTATAGAACACTAGTTGTATTGATTGCATTATTTTAATTTTACTTTAATTATAAGTGAGA